TTTTATTCTTTGTTCCGCAAAGTGCGCTCTTTTAGTTTGTAGTGATGTGACAATATATGGCAATGAGGAGTCCCATTGTGATTGTGAGAAGTGATCGTCACATACTTATTCCCCTTTTATCATTGTATGCGGAAGTTGGTCCTGGACCTGGATTCGAGGTCCTTGTCCAGGACATCCTAGGACCTAGACTCTACATGGGGGGGATCACCCCCCGCGCAAAGCCTATTTGCCCTGCCCAACGGGACACTCAGCCTAAAGGTCGGAGGTGTCGCGGAGGCCGCACAACTGTTCCTTCAGCCGTGCAATATCGTGAAGGGGTAGACCCTCACGATACTTCGAGTTTGACACTCGAGTGTCATAAGCGGTACTTGAACCCACGAGGGACCGCTTGATTATGGGCACTACATAGTACGCCACCATTGCGACTGCTTGTGTATGTCTGCATTGCGAGTCGATATGAGTTAGCCCTGCGTCCGTGCGGTTTTATACTAAGTCTCGCTCTCGTCGCATATCCGATTTCCGCATCGGAAAGTTATGGGATGGCTACTAAAGGGACTAGGATTGTGTGTGTTGTTTTGTTTGTGTCGTGTGTGTGTGTGTGTGTGTGTGTGTGTGTGTGTGTGTGTGTGTGTGTGTGTTTTATTTTTATGTTCTTTAGAGTGGTATACGCGTGGTGTGTGGGATGCGTCCTAGTCGACCGACGACAAGTCGCGCTTGGGACCTCAGCCCCCCAAGGCGTCGGTTCGCGTGCGGGTCGGATAGAGGCGTAAAACGGCGCGTACCCCTTATGCTACAGCGAACGAGAAATGCCCCCGGTTGTTCCACCTCTGCGATTGCAGCTGATTAACTTTCGTACTGTGGACTGGTAGCCAAGCGGGGATACGCCCATCGAAGGGAGGTGACAACTCCCGTAAGGTGGAGGTAAGTTGTGCCTCGCGTAGGCCCTATCCTGTTGTAGGGGCTCGCGAGAGGAATGGCTGACGCACTCGGCCGAAGCGGCTTGCGGAAGCTCCATGTATATATCGCAATGAGGATCAAACCGACTCCTGCGTGACGCGGCCGGGAGGGTCCCGCCCCATTTCGTGCGGTGCCGGACCGATGCGCTCGACACCGCCCTAAGTGAAGGCGGGCCTGATTATTCATAAGAGGCCGAAATTTGACGAATTTCCTATGTGGGTACTCAGTCAATTGCAACACGCCAGTTGGTTAGGCGGAAACGTGAGCCTCTCAGCCCTTTCCAAAAGCATGGGCTACGCTGTACAGTTGACCCGAGTTGTTGTGCCCTGGGCACACGCATTTTGAGGCAGATACATTACGTAGTGGGCACGGGTCTAGGGGACAGCAGCATTGTCGACGTACTTATCCCGGGAACAGTGCAAATGCACAAAACAACCGAAATCTGGAAATGTTGGGTGTGCCCAACTGTAACGAGCCCAGACCCTCAATTGCAACACGCAACCAGACTGAGGCTGCCACTTCCATATAGGGAGTAAGGCAACCAGAGTCTGCATTTTGGCCCACGTAGGCAATGCGGTCACATTGTTGCATTGTCGCACGAAAGGCTGCATGCTGCGTTAGCGGTCGGGGCGCATGAGGGCGCTTAAGAGGTGAGAGGGGCGCTGCTGGGCAGCGGAGTGCGAGCAACCGTAGTCGGGCTGCAGGGCGCAAAGAGGGGTTAGGGACGATCGGTGGTCTTCAAGAAGGAGGCGAGTGTGGGTGGTCCAGGGAAGTGACGAGGGAAGACGAGATACGTACCTGGTGCATGAGGGAGGTCGGCTATGGTGTTGACGTCATGTGCATTGGTCTTCAAAGTCGAAGTGAGCCTGTTGCATGAATTCGACTGTAGTAGGATAGGCGAGTAGTGTAGGCTGGGCGCTGGTCGCTGGTCGCTGGACAGAGAGGAGCAACATTGGATATTGTGTTGGTGTGGTCCGAGGGCTTGAACATTGGCTCACAAGTTCATTGTATTGCTCTTATTTGGATGGAATCTCGGTGCATTTGTGCTCTCTGCTTGTACATGACTACTTGGACATCTATGTGATTTCGCAACTTGGCTTTCTGTATATTGTTCTCACTCATATTCCTTGCAATTTGGTATCAGAGTTGGTTCGTGATCGCCAATACTTGGCGCCAACGACATTGTTACTTGGTGTGCTGTTGATGCTTTTGTGCAGTGAGGATACTTTGCCATTGGCTTGATGATGCGGCACCCGGGTAGAGGGGTGCGCCGAAGGAAGGCTATGGCGACAACTTGGAAGCTATGGCGACAACGAGTGTATGTATGATGACGAGAGCATGCTGTTGTGGCATTTGGCTGAGGTGGCACTGCATTTGATTGTGGGTGGTACCAACGCTACGACCGGTCATCAAAATGCATATTCAGCTCAATTGGTGAGAAATTTGTGCTTGGGGGCAGCTATCTCCAGGTACGGTGTTCCCTTACCTTATCTTCCCTCCGTGAGGAAGTGAGTCCAACCTTGAGTGTCCTCTCTTTTGAGTAAGGAGTCGTGAGCGCTCTACCTCGAGAGTCGGCATTCTTCCCGGTGGCGCATCTGGCAGGAGAGGGCGGTGTCTCTGAAAGGCTCTGGTCGAAGCACGGGTCACGGTCACCATGCCAACCCATGGGAGTAGTACACGTAGGCCATGCTGCTTTGTCCTTTGAAGGCTCTTTGCTGCACTGATAGAAGGGGTGTGCGGACTGAGCAGTCCTAAGCAAATGCTTACCAGACCGTCTATAAATATTTCTGGCGGGGGTTTTGAACTGCCCACTGGTTGTGATCGTTGTCCTGTTTGCGACGTTAAATGATTCCTAAGGACCTTGGGGTTGTCCTTAAACTGCCTCTTGATCAGCCTAGTTAGGCGTAAGGCTCGTTGCACGCGAGGATAAATAAAGGGCCGTTCTGGTCATAAGCATGGTCCTTGGGCTTAGGGGTGGGCCGTTAAGCACCACCTTAGACACTGTTGCTCGATGATGCCTACAGGCACGTTGGATACAGGGGAGGAAGATTCTAATTGATGCTCAAACTGTCAATCACAACCATTTCCATTGTGCATACATCTGCTCATAGTCAGCTCTTTTCGAAGCTCCTGTAAGTGAAGCAATCGACTTGACCTATGTGTACAATCTGTGTGAATGTTGTTGATACCGCTTGAACGGTAGCCCACGTGACTTGCCGAATATTATTTTATTTTTCAAATGTTTTTAGAACCGGTCAGACGCATGCTGCGGTAGGTTCTAGAGAGAACACTAATGCAGACAACGTCTGCCTAGCCGATGAGTGGCTCAGAAGGTGGTGAAGGTACAACTGACGACATAAGGCGAACACGACGTGATACACGTAGGATACCTGTAGTGTTCCAGGTCCTGCTACCAAGAGACGAAAGATGAATCAGGGTTGAAGCAAGGGCCCGTTTTCTTGAGACTGCTAGGGAAGCAGCAGCAGCTGCCGAAAGGACGTTAGCAACAACTACAGCTAGTGTAATAGCAATGGCTACCTCTGCAACAACATCTGCAGCAACCTCGTTTGGTCAGTCGCTCGGGATGATGGTCAACTCGACCAACGTGCAGTCCATCTCGAGTACTTCAGGAGTTGGTACCAGTCAGATGGCGGGCTCGCAGTTCAACTCGCCGCCTCCACGCACCAGGGAACAGATAGAACTCCAGCAAGTGGAGTTGATCCGCTTGAGGTTAGAGAAGGAACTGAAGGAGGCTACTGAAAGAGAAAATGAGATTAGGAATAGAAGTGTTCGACTTGAGGGCAGGGCGGCAAACAAAGCTGCACTAGATGGACTAGATGACTCAGCGCTTGACGATAATCTGAAGATTGTCAAGGCGAGCATACTGTCCACGCACACTTACATGGACAACAAATTGGACGGTATCAAGGATACCCTTGACTAGATACTGGATGCCATGCACATGCCCGGTTTCAGGCCAACAGTTTTGCCATCGCTGCCGTTGTGGGCGATGACAGACTCATATCCGCCTCAAACTGGCACTCTACCAGGCGGTTCTTCAGCAGCAGCAACACAAACTGTTGCTTCTTCATCTTCTAGTCTAGCGGCTGGAGCTACACCACAACCGCCACCTGTCCTACCAGTGGGACAGCAGCAACCATGGTACCCCAAGACCCCTTTGAAACCACCCTCAACCTTCTCAGGTGATAAGAAGGATGAGGCTCTCAGCACTTGGTTGAGAACGGTGCCAGAGTGTGGGTACAGGCGAAGAGGGCTGTAGTAGAGGAGGAAGTGATAACTGCTGCCTCATACTACAAATCCGTGCGCAAACTCACCTCGGTTGATGAGCGCTTGATTGTCGTTCTTGGGGTACGCTACGATCTGTAGGTCTTAATGGCCATGTTATTGAGATGTCTTCCCACAGACGTCAAGAACTTATTAGCCAGCGAGGCTCGCTTCGAGTATCACACGTTTGAGACCTTTATCAAGAAGGCTCAAGATTTAAAGGCCACGGTAGGAGGTGCTCAGCAACTCCCTACAGACGGAAGAAAGAAGAAGAGTCCACAAGAGTGAAGAAAGGAAGTCGATTGATGATGGTGGAGGCCGATGGGACTCAAACCGAGATCGACGACCATTCTGACTTAGTGGACGGTTCAGGTTTTGACGGCGAGGATAGTGTTGAGGGTAGCAACCTCGCTCCTTGGTAAAAGTTAAGGCAAGTGGCCGTGGCATGGGTGGTCAGCAGAGGAGTTAGGGGCAAACCCAGAACCCGAACAAGATTGCGGCTTGGGTTAGAGCGGGTTTGGATCAAGATGTGTGGTGGGACCGTTATACGCGGGGTGCTTGCATAAATTGCGGCGAGTATGGCCATTAGGGCCAGTAGAAGTTGTAACCGCTTCTACTTGTGTTGAAGTGGGCACTTCGTTGTGGAAGTTGGTGTAGGTGGCCACAAGTGTGGTGCCTTCGTCGACATCAGCTCCACGTTGTGGAAGTTGGTGTAGGAAGTTGCGACTGCGTTTACAGACTGCGCCTACAGGATCGGGTGCAGCGCCTTAGTAGACCGATAGCATCTACTTTGGGCAACAAAGAGCGCATGCTGGTGGAGGACTACATCAAGGACGTGGTATGTACTTTCTCCTATGCAGGAGGGGTACTTAATCATAAGATTTCGTTCCTAGTTAGCGGCGACGTACCATTTGACATGTTGTTAGGTATGTACTACCTTGAGGTTGACAAGCCCCAGTTTGACTGGGACAAGAAAGTGCTAAAGCATGAGTTGCGTAATGGGAGAACCGTTAGACTGGCTAAGTACAAAGCTAGTAGGTTAATTGACTCCTACGGGTGCTTGTGCGCACCAACTTTCTATAACTATTATAAACAGAACCAAGAGGAAGGTATGTACCTGTTTTTTGTCTCCAAGAAAGGCGAGGCCGTTAAATCACCCCTAGAGATAGAAAATGTTGTTGCTAAGTACCCAGATCTGTTTGAGGAGCCTACAGGAGTCGTAGACAGGGAGGTTGTCCATGCCATAAAGATTATCCCCGGGAGCAAGATACCCAAAGGGAGAATCTATAGGATGGCTCCAGCCGAGTTGGACGAGCTTCGACGGCAGCTGAAAGAGCTCACAGAGAAGGGATGGATAAGGCCTAGCATCTCTCGCTTTGGTGAGGGATCACTAAGGATGTGCATTGATCAAAGAGGCCTCGATGCCATCACCGTTAAGAACGCAGAGCCTCTGCCGCGCATCGACAACCTATTGGATAGGGTGCACGGATGTAAGTACTTTACCAAGATAGACTTGAAGTCCGGCTACCGTTAGATTGCTATTAGACCGGAAGACCAGCAAAAAATTGCTTTCCAGACCAGGTACGGTCTGTATGAGTTTAAGGTGATGCTTTTCGGCCTTTGCAATGCGCCAGGTACGTTCCAGCACGTTATCAATAGGATTTTTCATGACTACTTAGATAAGTTTATCGTTGTGTACCTCAACGACATTCTTATCTTTTGTAAGACTGTCGAGGAACATGCTCAGCACGTAGACAAACTTCTTTCTTTCCTTCGGCAGCACAAGTATAAGATAAACTTAGAAAATTCGGTCGCACTAGAATCTTGTACATAGGTCGTGAAGTCTCCACAGAAGGGATTAGGCCTGAAGATGCGAAGGTGGTTAGTATTCGAGACTGGCACGACCTCAGTCTGTGACCGAGGTCAGGTCATTCTTGGGGATGTGTGGTTATTATCGCAATTTTGTAAAGAACTATAGTACAATTGCCTCCCCGTTGACTGATCTAACTCGCCTTGACACTCCATGGGACTCAGATTTAACTCGCCTTGACACTCCATGGGAATGGACAGACGCATGTGAGGCTGCTTTCAAGAGATTGAAGTATGCCCTCACGCATCATGAGATTCTTATGGTCCCCGATCCTGAAAGGCCGTTTGTTGTGACCACTGACGCAAGCCATTATGGCATTGGCGCAGTGCTGGCTCAACAAGAAGGGAAGAAGTTGAGGCCGATCGAGTACATGAGCAAGAAGATGCCATCGAAGAAGTTGGCGAAGTCCACCTACGAGAGGGAACTCTACGCCCTATATAAGGCACTTGTCCTCTCGAGGCACTATTTGTGGGGAGGTTCTTCTACTTGAGAACCAACCATCAGACACTCGACTGGATCAAGACACGTGTTCTCTCTGGTGCACTCAAACGCTGGATTGAAGTCATAGATCAGTATGACTTCAAGCTAGACTATGTGAAAGGAGAGTATAACAAGGTTGTTGATGCACTGTCACGTAGGGCAGACTACCTAGGTGCGCTGCTTACCGAGTTTGGCTTATCTGACAATGTAACTCGATCCTTGGTGGAAGCCTACAAGGAAGACCCTGTCATGATGGACATCATGCACAAACTAGAGGCCCAAGACAAGGCCACATCTGATGAGTATGTGACGGTGGATGGGTTGCTCTTTCTTGAAAAGGTGGGATTTAAAAGGTTAGTTGTTCCATCTAGAGAGATTTTACTTGGTTTATTTTTAGGAGAGTGCCACGATGCAACGAGACATTTTGGCTACAAGTAGACTAGCGCTGACTTGGTACAACGATTCTGGTGGCCTAACATGCTGTGCCACGATGCAACGAGACATTTTGGCTACAAGTAGACTAACGCTGACTTGGTACAACGATTTTGGTGGCCTAACATGCTTGACGATGCGAAGACATCTGTGCAAACTTGTCAAGTCTGTCATCAGGACAAGCCGCCGACTCAAGCCCCTTTGGGTTGTTAAAGCCCCTGCCCATTCTTGGTGGTCCGGGACAGAGTGTTTCCATGGACTTCATGGATACACTCGTGACCAGCAAGAGTGGCAAGAGGCATATCTTCATCGTAGTTGATAGGTTCACTAAGTACGCTAGACTAATTGCCTTGTCGAAGACCGCCAGGACTGAGCACATCATCAAGCTATTAATGGATAACTAGATGCGTGACTTTGGCCTGCCAAAGACTATCGTTAGCGATAGAGATGTCCGCTTCACCAGTGAGATGTGGAAGAAGGTCGCAGAACAGATGGTCAGCCAACTCCAGATGACTCATGGGAATGATCTTGAAGCCAACCAACAGGCTGAACAAATGAACCGAGTGGTGCAGCATCTGCTGAGGCATTACATAAATCCAGCCAGGATGACTAGGATGAGAAGTTACCTCGCATCGCCAGTCTGTACAACAACGTTGTACACAGCACAACCGACATCACTCCCAATCAGCTGCATTTCGGATGGAAGCCTAGATCTGCTCTAGACTTCCTCCTACCTGAAAACCGAACTGCTGCACCACCTGGGACCATAGAGTTTGGTGTCCAATATGAGAAACTGTCGCTGCAGACTGTCGAACACATCAAGAAATCTCAAGAAGCAATGATTGCTTCTGAGAACAAGCATTGCCGACAATCCACATTTCAGGTAGGGGAGCGTGTCTTGGTTAGGGCTAGTGAGTTGGGGCAGGAGTTCGGCATCTCTAGGAAACTAATGCCTTCGTATTTCGATCCCTGGGAGGTCTTAGATATTGTGGGTAGTGATTTGGATGGCCCCTCGTACGTGATTAGAATCCCTGGTCATCTGCACACTTACCCTGTGTTTCACGCCTCAAAGCTTGCACCTTTCGCTGAGACAGCAGTTTCCCTCAAGGACATCAATGCTGCCCCAACCATGGATGGCCACGTGGACATCGACGACATTTTGGAACGCAAAGACATGCATGTCCCCAAGCCAGCAGGCAGGGGAAGACCGCCTAAACCTATGAGAGAATGCAGGGTTCGGTTCAGGCATCATACGAATCGTAAGGAAGATCGTTGGTTCACAAGAGAGGAACTGGTGAAGACAACTCCTTAGATTGTGGCCGAGTACGAACGCAGACTGAAGGGCAAGACACCTGCATGAAGCATCTCAACGGACTTTCGAAGCTAAGGGGGATGGAATGCGAGGAATGAGCCCTCGCAGGGCGCTTATCGGACAGGCACATGTTCTGGGCAGTGACCCTTATCGGACATGCACATGTTCTGGGTAGTGGCCCTCAACAAGCCTTGTGTGTGCCCTAAGTGAAGGCGGGCCTGATTTTTCACAAGAGGCCGAAATTTGACGAATTTCCATATGTGGGTACTCACACAGTTGCAGCACGCCAGTTGGCTAGGCGGAAGCGTGAGCCTCTCAACCCTTTCCAGAAGCATGGGCTACGCTGTACAGTTGACCCGGGTTGTTGTGCCCTGGGCATATGCATTCTTAGGCAGATACATTACACAGTGGCCACGGGCCAGGGGGACAGCGTCATTGTCGACGTACTTATCCCGAGAATAGTGCAAATGCAGAAAACAGCCGAAGTCTGGAAATGTTTTTTTTTTTTTTTTGGGAACAATCCAATCCATTCGTGGGGAGCAGCACGTGCTAAGAAAAAATTGGGGCTCCTTAGGAAATTACTATGACAAACTTCAAAAATAGGCAAAAATTCAAAAGATGACTTAGAAATCCCCCCTCAATCCTCTTTACCTCACTCCGGCAAGACTTACTGCAACAGAGCCACGATCTCCGCTGCTGTTGTACCCTATTTCCATCCTACCAGCTAGCCCCCTCACTAGTAGGACGCTTGATATCCCACCATCTTTTTTTGAAGACCCCATCCACCCTTTTTTTTGAAACAAACGGATATGCACAATTCAGAAAGGGACCCAAACACCGCCAATCGATCCCCTGTACCTCACTCCGACAAGACTTACTGCAGCAGAGCCACCATCTCCGTTGCTGTTGTACCCTATTCCTATCCTACCAGCTAGCCCCCTCACTAGTAGGACGCGTGATATCCCACCATCTCTTTCTCCCACTCACCTGGATCCCTTTTTTGAAAATGTCTGAGAACACTTGCAGTAATTCAGGAGGCATGGGAATAGACCGCAGAGGTCCTACAAATGCTCCAAAACCCTCGAAATCCCTAACAGACCCTTCCAAAGTTCTCCAACACTGTCTTACTCCCTGCTAAGCTCTTCCAGGCTTCACACCCCTACATTCTGCTGGGTAACAGGGCAACATGACTCACCCCAGATCCGACCAGCGTCGTCCCAGCAGCAACCCTTGGTTGTCCCGTGGAATGCCCACCCCAAAGCATCCCCAGGTCTCTCTACCAGGCCTCATGCTCCTGCATCAGCAGTTTACAGGGCAACACCCCAGCACCGGCCAGCGTCGTTCTGGCATCGAACAACCGCAGATTACTGAGTATAACAACATCTAAGCCACCTAAAATGAGTTGCGTCCCCAGAGTCCTAAAACATTCTTAAGACCACCAAACAACCAACTTGTGAAGAAAACAAAAACCAACTAAGATTATCCAAGGCTTTCAGACCAAAAACCACCTGCCCCGGTGCATTTCAGCAGCCCAACCTTATCCGCCTCCGCCCGAAACCCCAATACTCAATCTCTACCAGGCCTCATACCCCCAATTGCTAGGTTACAGGGTGGCGCGGCCCACCCCAGAAACTCCCCACCTGCTAGGTTACAGGGCAGAGCGACCCGTCCCAGCTCCGACCAGCGTTGACCAAGTACCAGACCACCAACAGACAGTAGAGCGCCTTCCACCCACGACGACTCCCCAGATCTCTCTACCAGGTTTCATGCCCCCGTACAGCTCGAGTTACAGGGCAGCACTACCAAGCCCCAACACCAACCAGCGTCGTTCTGGCCTCGTCCATTCGCAGACCAAACGGACGTCAGCAGATAACATACAAGCCACCAATCCTCACCATAGTTGTGGTTCCCATCATCCAGCTCCTCCAGGCACTGGTTGCAATCGACCAACAAAATTCATCCATCCTCACCCCTACTCCGGCAAGACTTACTGCGGTTGAGCCACCATCTCCAGCGTTGTTGTACCCTATTCCCGCCCTACAGGCTAGCCCCTTCGCCGCAGAGCGCGTTATCTCCAACCATCACCACCAAAACAACCCACTACACCAGCATAAACTCAGATACACGTTGTTTCGAATTCAAAAATAGAAGACAAAATTATAACGTAAAAATCAGAAGTACGAATTGTAAAAGAATTTTTTAGAAATTTGAGATTCGAATTTCAATACTCTGAACACAAGAATTAAGAAAAAAGTTATACGAAATAGGGGATTATAGGAGATTAGAATTTCAGATTTCAGTGTAAGAATTTTTAAGAATTTTTACTGAGACATGCGAACGAAGTTTGGAACAGATCGCGAGATTTCAAATTTGAGAAAGTCGCGTATAAGAGATTTTAATGGGACATATGAACGAAGTTTGGAACTAGTTTGAACCACGATTAGGAATTAGGACCTTGATACTAGGATCAAAATTTATGAAAATCAGTATGAAGAAGTTCAAATGCAAGGAATATGAGTGTGTACGATATACAGAAAACCAGATTGCGAAATCACACAGCTGTCCAAGTAGTCGTGTCCAAGCAGAGAGTACATAATGCACCAAGAAACCATCCATATAGAGCAATACAATGAAGTAATGAGCCAATGTTCAAGCCCGTAGGCCACACCAACACAGTATCCAAAGTCGCTCTCTCTGTTGTCTGGCGCCCAGCGCCCAGTCTACCCTACCYGACTATCCTACCTACAGCTGGTTCACGCAACAGGCTCACTTCGACACTTGAAGACCAATGTACATGACTGTCAACTCCATAGCCGACCTCTCTTCATGCACCAGGTATGTATCTCGTCACCCTCACTCAGACCTTGATTACCCCACACAGCACCTCCTTCCCTAAAGACCGCCCGATCATCCACTGTACCCCCTGGCGCCCAGCAGCCCAGCTATGGCCGCTTGCGCCCCGCTGCCCTGTAGCGCCCCTCTCACCACCTCGCGCTCCGTCAGCGTCCTTGGCATTAATGCAACATCAAACAGAAGCGCAGCAGCACTTCCGCATTGCCAGAGGTGGCCAGTGTCTGGCCTGGGCTGCCTTACTTCCTTTATGGAAGTGGCAGCGTGTTGGATGCTGCGTCTGGCCTGGCTGGAAGCTTCCAGTAGCTTCCGGTTGGGCCTCAGACCCTGTGCCCAGGCCCGAGACTTACAGTTGAGGGCCTGGGCCCTTTTCAGTTGGGCACGGCTTGGTTGTTTGCTGTATCTGCGCAGGGGCCCCAGGTAGATGCATCGGCAGTACTGCTTTTCAATGTATCGGCCCTGCTTTGTGTGTATATGCCTAGGCGCAACTTTTGTGGCCTAGGCCAACTGTACAACGCAACTTATTGAGTCTCGTACGTTCACTCAACCAACTGACGCGTTGCGAGAGCCTGAATACCCACATATGGAAATGTCGAATTTTGGCCTGTGAACATTCAGGCCCGCCTTCACTTAGGGCAGGCACTTGGCTTGCTGGGACCTTAGCCCTGAACATGAAATGTCTGATAGGGCCCCTTGAGGGCTCATTCCTCACATTCCATCCCCCTTAGCTTTGAAAGTCCACTGAGATGCTTCATGTCGGAGCCTTCCCCTTTAGTCTCTTCTCATAATCTGCCACGATCTGAGGAGTTGTCTTAATAAGTTCCTCCCTTGAAATCCATCGATCTTCCTTCGGATCCGTATGATGCCTGAAATGAACTTTGTACTCCCTTGCAGGTTTTGGAGGTCTTCCCCTGCCAGTTGGCTTGGGAACAGGCGTATCTCTGTGATCCAAAATGTCGTCGACATCCACGTGGCCGTCCATGGTTGGGGGCAGCATAGATCTCTGTGATGGGAACTGTGCTGTCTTAGCGAAAGGTGCCAGCTTTGAGGCGTGAAAAACAGGGTAAGTGCGTAGGTGACCAGGGATGCGAATGACGTACGAGGGACCATCCAAATCAATCCCCACACTGTCCAGGACTTCCCAGGGACCGAAGTACTGAGGCATTAGTTTCCTAGAGATGCCAAATTCCTGTCCCAACTCACTAGCCTTGACCCAGACACGTTCCCCTACCTGAAATGTGGATTGCCAGCGACGCTTGTTCTTAGAAGCAATCATGACTTCTTGAGATTTCTTGATGTGTTCGACAGTGTGCTGCAACAGTTTCTCATATTGGACACCAAATTCAATGGTTCCAGGAGTTGCAGCAGTTCGGTTTTCAGGCAAGAGGAAGTCTAGAGCAGATCTAGGCTTCCACCCCAGATGCAGTTGATTAGGACTGACGCCGGTGGTGCTGTGTACAACGTTGTTTGTGCAGGCTGGCGATGAGAGGTAATTTCTCATCCCAGTCATCCTGGTTGGGCTTGATGTAATGCCTCAGCAGATGCTGCACCACTCGATTCATCTGTTCAGCCTGCCCATTTGCTTCGGGATGATTCCCAGAATTCATCTGAAGTTGGCTGCCCATCTGTTCAACGACCTTCTTCCACATCTCGCTTGTGAATCTCACATCACTGTCACTAACAATCGTCTTTGGAAGTCCAAAGTCACGCACTCAGTTGTCCATGAACAACTTGATGAAGTGCTCAGTCCTGGCTGTCTCTGGCATGGCGATTAGTCTAGCATACTTAGTGAACCTATCCACTATGACGAAGATGTGCCTCTTGCCATTCTTGCTGGTCACAAGGGTATCCATGAAGTCCATGGAGATACTCTGCCCTGGGCCAGCAGGAATGGGTAGAGGCTTGAGTAACCCAAGCGGAGCTTGAGTTCGCGGCTTGTCCCGCTGACAGACCTGACAGGTCTCCACGTACTTCTTCACATCGTCAAGCATGTTAGGCGACCTGAATCGTTGTACTAAATTAGCATTAGTCTTCTTGTAGCCAAAATGTCCCGTTGCGTCGTGACACTCTCCTAAAAATAAACTACGCAAAATTTCCCTAGATGGAACAACTAACCTTTTGAACCCTGCCTTCTCAAGAAAGAGTAACCCATCCACCATCACAAACTCGTTAGTGGTGGCCTTATCTTTGGCCTGAAGTTTGTTAATGATGTCCATCATGATGGGGTCTTCCTTGTAGGCTCCCCCCAACGATTGAGTCACATCCTCAACCAAACCAAACTCAGAAATCAACGCACCTAGGTAGTCTGCCCTCCTAGACAACGCATCTGCAACCTTGTTGTACTCTCCCTTCACATAGTCTAGTTTGAAGTCATATTGATCTATGACTTCAATCCAGCGTTTGAGTGCATCGGAGAGAACTGGTTGAGTCTTGATCCACTTGAGGGTCTGATGGTCGGTTCTCAAGTAAAAGAACCTCCCTAACAGATAGTGCCTCCAGTGGACAAGTGCCTTGTAAAGAGCGTAGAGTTCCCTCTCGTAGGTGGACTTTGCCAACTTCTTTGATGGCATCGTTTTGCTCATGTACTCAACCGGTCTCAACTTTTTCCCTTCCTGCTGAGCCAGCACTGCGCCAGTCTCATATTGGCTTGCGTCAGTGGTTACAACAAATGGCCTTTGCGGGTCGGGAACCATAAGAACCTCATGGTGCGTGAGGGCGTTTGAAAGCTGCCTCACACTCGTCGGTCCAGTCCCATGGTGTGTCAAGTCGAGTTAGATCAGTCAAGGGAGATGTGATCGTACTATAATTCTTTACGAAATTGCGGTAATAACCACACATTCCCAAGAAGGATCTGACATCAGTCACAGATTGGGGTCGTGGCTAGTCACGTATGCTAGCCACCTTTGCATCTTCGGGCCTAATCCCATCCACAGATAGTTCATGACCCAAGTACAAGATTCGAGTGCGACCAAACTCGCATTTCTCTATATTTATCTTATACTTGTGCTGCCGAAGGAGTGAAAGTATTGTGTCTACATGCTGAGCATGCTCCTCCACAGATCTACTAAAAATAAGTATGTCGTCGAGGTACACGTCAACGAACTTATCCAAGTAGTAATGGAAGATCCTATTCATGGCGTGCTGGAATGTACCCGGCGCATTGCAAAGGCCAAAGGGCATCACCACAAACTCGTACATACCGTACCTGGTTTGAAATGTGGTTTTGTGCTGGTCCTCGAGTCTTATGGCAATCTGATGGTAGCCGGATTTAAGTCTATCTTTGTATAGTACTTACACCCCTGCACCCTATCCAATAGGTCGTCGATGCATGGTAGAGGCTCTGCGTTCTTAACGGTAATGGCATTGAGGCCTCTATAATCAATGCACATCCTTAGTGTTCCCCCTTTCTTTGGAACAAACAATACTGGTGAGCCAAAGGGAGAAGTGCTAGGCCGAATCCAACCCTTCTCTGTGAGCTCTTTTAGTTGTTGCCGATGCTCGTCCAACTCGGTCGGAGTCATCCTATAGATTCTTCCCTTAGGTGTTTTACTACCTGGGATGATCTCTATGGCATGGACAACCTCCCTGTCTACGACTCTTGTAGGCTCCTCAAACAGATCAGGGTACTTGGCGACGATGATCTCTATCTCTGGGGGTGTTTTAACGGCGTCCCCTTTTGCAGAGACATAGACTAAGTACATTCCTTCCTCTTGGTTCTGTTTATAATAATTATAGAAGGCAGATGCGCATAAGCACCCATAGGAGTCTACTAACCTACTGGCTTTGTACTTGGCCAGTCTCACGGTTCTCCCACTAGGCAACTCGTGCTTCAACACCTTCTTTGTCCCAGTCAAACTGGGGCTTGGCAACCTCGAGGTAGTACATGCCCAATAACATGTCAAAGGGGAACTCGTCGCTCACCAGGAATGATATCTTATGATTAATCTCTCCTCCTGGGTAGGAGAAGGTGCAGACTACATCTTTAACGTAGTCCTCCACTGTCATGCGCTCTTTGTTGGCCAAAGTAGATGCTACCGGTCTACTAAGGCGCTGCACCTGGTCCTTTAGGCACAGTCTGTCAACGCAGTCACGACTTATGAAGTTCCACGTGGAGCCAATGTCTACGAAGGCGCCGCACTTGCCACCCACCCACATCAACTTCCACAATGAAGTGCTCCCCTCTAGGACCTCTACTCAGTGCCACCCAGAACTCACGAGGGTCCCTTGCTGACCACTCACCTTGAAGGTCCTCTAAGGCTTCGGACGCATCCAACGTACAGAGTATAGTTGGGTTCGGATGTGTCTGCGGGGTGACTAAGGAGTCAGTAGTTTTGGCCAACTCTTGAACCGGGGAGGGTACATCACCCGATTCAACGAGAGTAGAAACAGTTACATCTTCTACCAGCCCTAAGTGTTTCCCGAGTTGGAGCTCATAGAGGCCCCACCCTTAGGAGGGATCTTCTGCGAGACCTTCGGGTTCTTGCACTTAAACTGTGTATGGCCATACTCGCCGCAGTTTATGCAAGCTCCCCGCTGCCAACGGTCCCGCCATACATCCTGATCCAAGCCTGCCCTTACCCAAGCAACAATTTTGTTTGGGTTGGCGGCTTGCCCCTAACCCCTTTGCTGACCGCCCTTGTCGCGACCCGCTGCCTTAGTCTTAACTAGTGCGGCGAGGTTGCTACCCTCAACACTCTCCTCGCCGTCTAACTCTGAACCCTCCACAAGCTCAGAAACATCATCGATCTCGGTTTGATTCCCATCGGAATCAACCATCATCAATCGACTACCCTTCTTCCATTCTTGTGGAGTCTTCTTCTTTCTTCCATCCGTAGAAGAGGTTTGAGCACCACCCAGTGTAGCCTCTAAGTCTAGGGCCTTCTTGCTGAATGTCTCAAACGTGTGATACTCTTTGCGAGCCTCAATGGCTAACAAGTTCTTGATGTCTGTGGGAAGACATCTCAAGAACGTGGTCAACAAGACCTGTGGATTGTATTCCACTTATGGGACGACAATCAGACGCTCTACGGCCGTGGTCAACTCTCGCACCGACTTGTACTTTCTAGAGTCAAGCTTTAAAATCCCATCAGTGGTAATCTGTGCCTGCTGAGGGTTGTGCCAACGAGCCTCCACTAGGTCACACTGGCACCGTTCTCAACCACGTGTCGAGAGCCTCATCCTTCTTATCTCCTGAGAAGGTTAGAGGTGGCTTCAGGGGGGTCTTGGGATACCAAGGATATTGTTGTCCCACTGGCGAGACAGGTGGCGACTGTGGTGTAGCAACAATCGCTGGACCAGAAGATGAACAAGCAACAGTCTGAGATAGAGCTGCTGCTGATGTAACACTTGGTGGTGGTCCAGACTGAGTGGCATAGAGGCCTGTCTTCGCTGAGAATGGCAGCGATGGTAAAGTTGCTGGCCGGATCCCTGGCTTATGTAGCGCTTGTAGGATCTGGTCTAGGGTATCCTGCATGGCTTCCATCTTGTTGTCTATGTACGCATGCATGGATAGGACGCTTTCCTGTTGTGCTAAGGGTTGTGTCCTCTAACGCCTCTAGCGCAGCCAAGTCTGCCTCCCTACTCTCTAGTCTGACACTTCTCTCTTTGATCTCTTTCTCTCTTTCAGTAGCTTGCCTAAGTTCCTCCTCTAGCTTTAAGCGGATCCTCTCTACTTGCTGGAGCTCCATCTGCTCCCGGGTGCGTGGAGGCGGCGAGCTGAACTGCGAGCCCGCCATCTGACTAGTGCCAACTCCTGCCGTACTGGAGATGGAGTGTGAACTGGTCGACATGCCTAGCCCTTGACCAGTTGAGTTTGCAGCAGTTGCCGCGGATGTAGCCATTGCTACCGCTCTAGCTGCTGCTGCTTCTCTTGCAGCCTCAAGATTACGGGCCCTAGCTTCAGCCCTTAATCTTCTCTCTTCTCCCTGTTGTAGGGCCTGGAACACTCTAGGAATTCTAAGGGATGATAGCCTTGTTATCCTCCTATCGTCATCTCCACCTTCACCACCCTCTGATCCACTCATGGGTTAGGCAGACGCTGTCTGCACTAATGTCTTCGCTGGAACCTACCGCAGCATGCGTCTGACCGGATAAAAATAAATAAATAAATAAATGTCCGGCGAGTTACCTAGACTACTAATCAAGCGTCATCAACAGAACCTACACAGACTAATACATATTGTCTAGATTTATTATGATTAGTTTTGCACAGAAGATTCGAGAAGAACTGACTATGGTAGAATACAGTCCTACTCTAGTCTGTCTGTTAGGTGTCAGCAGTCGGTCAACCAACTAATCAAAAATAAAACCTAGACTAATGTGAGCAGATGTATGCACAATGGAAATGCTAGTGATGTTCAATTGAGTTCACAATTGGAATTCCCTTCCCCTGTATCCAACGTACCTGTGAGCATCATCAAGCTGCGTTGTCTAAGGTGTGCAACCACGGCCCACCCCTGTGCCCAAGAAGTATGACCAGCCTGCCCTTTATTTACCCTCGCGTGCAACAAGCCTTACGTCTGACTGATCTGGCTGATCGAGAGGCAATTTAAGGACAGCCCCTGGAGTCCTCAAGAATTCTTTAACGTCGCAATCAGGACGACGATCACAGCCAGTGGACAGTTCAGACCCCAACCAGAAATGTTTATAGACGGTCTGGGAGCGTCTCAATAGGACTGGTCAGTCCACACACTCCTTCTATCAGCGCAGCAAAGAGCCTCAATGGACAAAGCAGCATGGCCTGCGTGTACTAATACCCATGGGTTGGCATGGTGACCGTGACCCGTGCTTCGACCAGGGCCCTTCAGAGGCAGCGCCCTCTCCTGCCAGATGTGCCACCGGGAAGAATGTTGTCTCTCAAGATAGAGCGCACACGACTCCTTACCAAAGAGAGGACACTCAAGTTGGACTCACTTCCTCACGGTAAGAAGAGATTGAGAGGGTAGATAAGGAATGGGAACAACGTACCTGGCGATAGCTGCCCCCAACCACAGATTTCTCACCAATTGGGCCGACGTGCATTTCGATGACCGGTCAATAGCCTCGGTACCACCCACAATGCAATGCAGTGCCACCTCAGCCAAAATGCCACGTCAGCATACTCTCATCATCATGCATACACCCACTGTTGCCACAGCTCCCACGCTGTCGCCAAAGCCTTCTCGCGGCCGGCCTCTCTACCTAGGCCCCGCCAATTAAGCAGCGGCAAAGTATCCTCACTGCACATGAAGCATCGTCAACGCACGAAGTCACAATGTTGTCGGTGCCAGGTAAGCGGTGATCATCAACCGGCTCTAATACCAAATTGCAAGGAATATGAGTGTGTACGATATACAAAAATCCAAATTGCGAAATCACACAGTTGTCCAAGCATAGAGTACAGAATGCACCGAGAAACCATCCATATAGAGCAATACAATGAAGTAATGAGCCCATGTTCAATCCCGTAGGCCACACCAACACAATATCCAGAGTCGCTCTCTCTGCTGTCTGGCGCCCAGCGCCCAGTCTACCCTACCTGACTATCCTACCTACAGCTGGTCCACGCAACAGGCTCACTTAACTACTTGAAGACCAATGTACATGACTGTCAACTCCATATCCGACCTCTCTTCATGCACCAGGTACGTATCTCGTCACCCTCACTCAGACCTTGATTACCCCACACAGCGCCTCCTTCCGTGAAGACCGCCCGGTCATCCGCTGTACCCCCTTGTGCCCAGCAGCCCGGTTATGGCCGCCTGCGCCCCGCTGCCCTGCAGTGCCCCTCTCACCACCTCGCGCTCCGCCAACGCCCTTGGCATTAGCGCAGCATCAAACAGAAGCGCAACAGCACTTCCGCATTGCCAGCGCTGGCCAGTGTCTGGCCTGGGCTGCCTTACTTCCTTTATGGAAGTGGCAGCGTGTTGGATGCTGCGTCTGGCCTGGCTGGAAGCTTCCAGTAGCTTTCGGTTGGGCCTCAAACCCTGTGCCCAAGCCCGAGACTTACAGTTGAGGGTCTGGGCCCTTTTCAGTTGGGCACGACCTGGCTGTTTGCTGTATCTGCGCAGGGGCCCCAGGTAGATGCGTCGGCAGTACTGCTTTTCAATGTATCGGCCCTGCTTTGTGTGTATATGCCCAGGCGCAACTTTCGTGGCCTAGGCCAACTGTACGACGCAGCTTACTGAGGCTCGCGCGTTCACTCAACCAACTGACGCACTGCGAGAGCCTGAATACCCACATATGGAAATGTCGAATTTTGGCCTGTGACGAATATTCAGGCCCGCCTTCACTTAGGGCGTGCACTTGGCTAGCTGGGACCTTAGCCCAAAACATGAAATGTCTGATAGGGCCCTTTGAGGGCTCATTCCTCACACAAACAAGAAATTCGAAGAAAACAAAATTTGGAATATCAATCGCGACGAATTTGATCACGGCAACAGTACGGGATCAATCAAGAGTATACACCATTCATAGGCCTAGTGAATAAGATCGCCTACAAAATTTCAGGACGAACTTAGACAGACTTCCAACCAGGCAACCCCTCACTGTGCCCTAACGAGACATGGGCCCTTGAAATGCTTTTCCGCAAACACTGAGTTGAGCAGCCGACTTCAACGATCACACGAAGAAGAGAAGATGGCCCTTGCGAACAGCGTGAGCACTCCGACTCCTCCCATAAAACGCCCGCCACGTCTCGTCTTCATCACCACCCACCATAGCCCTAACGCTTCTCCCACTGTCGTGCTCAACTCACTCCCGCCGCCTAGCCAGGCATCATGCAGACGCGTCACTTCGAATGGGGCATGTTTGGTCGGGTCGGGCGCAGCGCCCCAGGTAGCGCTGCCGAAGTTTGGAAATGTTGGGTGTGACCAACTGTAAAGGGCCCAGGCCCTCAACTGCAGAGTTGGGCCTGGGCACAGGCACTGGGGCCAGACCGGAAGCTATTCCAAGCTTCGAAGTCAGGCTCACACGCAGCCAGATTGAGTGTTACATGGCCAGTTGGGCGATGTACATAGAAACCGAGGATCCGCAATGTGATAAAAAGGACTGAATGGACAATGCAATGCAAGTAGAATCTCAACAAGCAATGTGCATTCTAAGACATACAAAATGGTGCTGAATAGCGCAGGGAAGACTTAGATACAAATCCTGACCTGACCGGGACTGACCTCATTCACATAGTATCAGATAGCGAAGCAGAATGCTAGAATGCTAATGACTAGCCCACTAAATGTTTGAACGCAGACCAAACATACATCGTATCCATCACAAAGTGTGAAGGAGCCTAGCGCTGTACACAGGAAGAAAGCGCCAGGTCCAAACATACACACACGAAGAGGAGGGGGTCAGACGAAGAGGAGAGGGAGAGATGGGAATGTCGTCAACACCAAGTCTTTGTCACAAGTCCCAAATAATCCCTCGTTGCCATGTCTGAAGCCAAAAGTNACGAAGAGGAGAGGGAGAGATGGGAATGTCGTCAACACCAAGTCTTTGTCACAAGTCCCAAATAATCCCTCGTTGCCATGTCTGAAGCCAAAAGTAGAGTCTGGATCCAATGTCACCAAGCTCTTTCTCTCTTCTCTCGTAGTCTGCTGATGCAGTGAAGTCATATGATGAGAGGGTGAGAGGGAGATGGTGGACTGAGAAGAGGAAGAAGAAGAACTCTCTCTCTCTGTTACGAGCCAGGTACTAACCTGTGAAGTTGGCGTTGTGTTGCAAGTACCTCGACGACGAAGCTGGAGCAACGGCGCTGCAAGTAGGTACCCAAGGCCTCCGCCCAATCTCTCTCTCTCTAGTGCTATCCTAGCTATGGCTCCAAGCGCTGGAGACTACAGCTACCTACCGCGCCCAACGCTGAAGACCAAGGCTAACACTACTACTACTCCTGCAGCGCTCCCTCCAGAGTGCTGCTGCCGAATTCTTAAGACTACTACTGCCTCCTGCCTACCCGTGAAGTGCATGGGAAGTCCCTATGTACTACCTCGGCCTGCCTCCTGACTGCCTGAAGGGCGAGCCAGGTCGAGGAGGCTGCTCTTGCCAATGCCGAAGTGTACCAGGGGCTGGCACTCCAGCAACTGTTGAGGCTGGCCTGGGAACAGGCTAAGAATAGCCCGCTCCCGAAACCCTGGTTCGGTGCCTAAGTTTTAGGGCCGGTCGTTCTGGTGAACGACCGAAAATAGTCCTTCGTTTCAGGCTAAAAAGGCTTTTGTCATTTTTAGTCTGAAACGACACAGGGATTGTAGGCCCCTGTTTTCAGGCTTTCGGGCTGAATAGTCACGGGGCCTGTAGGCCCTGGTTTTCAGGCTTTAAGCCTGAATTTCAGGCTTTCAGCCTGAGGGACGCAGGTCCTGGAAAATGGCCCTCGTGTGCAGGCGCAGCATGTAACACCCCCCCCTCCTTATGAAGTCAAGGCGGGGCGAGGGCGAAGCCGACGATCTGAAGGTGGAACCTGGACGCGRGCGYGGCGTGGAGCCGAAGAAACCGGCTTGCCTTGCATCTTGCGTTCGTAGCGTGCGAGAACGTCTGGAGCTGTTGCTTGAAGTTCCGCACGGGTCAACCAACGGTCAGCTCGGTGTGTGCAGTATGCAAAATGCACTAAATACGCGGTTGGCCTGTTGCCGTAGCGTCGTTGGGAGATTATGTCGCCGACCTCCTGAAAACCATCCATGGAGGGTGGGTCTTGCGAACGTCTTGATCTTGACAAAGTGAAGATTGAACTAGTGGAACACATTCATATGAGTAGGAGAGCAACTAAGTGATAACCGGAACATCAACACATGCTTGATCTTGACAAGGTGAAGATTGAACTAAGAGGAACACAATCACATGAATAGGATAGCAACTAAGTGAGAACCGGACCACCAACACATGCTCGAACTTGACAAAGTGAAGATTGAACTAGTGGAACACATTCACATGAGTAGGAGAGCAACTAAGTGAGAACCGGAACATCAACTAAGCGAGATTGAACTAGTGGAACACATTCACATGCGGAAACCCAAACGAGGTCGCCGACGCAGAATGGACAAGGAAGACGCTGGCGATTGGCCTGCTGGCTCATGCGCTGCTGCGTCTTATCCATCTGGTCGCGGGCCTTGACAAGAAGCTCTTGCCCCCGACGAAAGAAAAGAAGATGGTCGTCACTCTCGGCCATTCGTGGAGTGATAATGTCCAATGGTGAAGTGACCGGCGAGCCGTGCTCGAACTCGAAAGGCGATATCCCGATAACCGGGTGGATGGAAGAGTTGTAGGCCAACTCGACATCCGGCAGCCGCTCAACACAGTCCTTCTGGTCAGGATGGATGAGAGTGCGAAGGAGAACCTGTGCGGTTTGGTGCGCCCTCTCCGTTTGGCCATCGGTCTGAGGGTGGCGAGCTGAACTGGGTTTGAGAGATGAGCCCCATTGCTTGATGAGCGCCAACCAAAAATCGGACATGAATGGAGTGTCGCGGTCACAGACGATCTCCTTGGGGTAACCCTGGGTTCGAATCCAAACGGTGTAAATAACCTCGGCCAACTGCGGTGCCTTGGCATGACAGCTGCAAGGCAAAAACATGGCAAACTTGGTGAGTCGGTCGACCACCGTGAGAATCCCATCCACTCCGATCTTGTGCTTGGGGAACGGGCCGGTAATGTCCATGGCAATCGCTTCCCTTCGCCTCAACGAGACCGGTAATGGTCGTAACTTGCAGTACGGACGATGGTTGCGGGATTTGCAGCGTCGACAAACCTCGCACGAATCGCAATAGCGTGTGACGTCGCCGAGAAGGCCGGACCACCAAAATCGCCTGCGAAGTCGGCAAATCATGCGATTGACTCCAAAATGTTCGGTGGCGGGAGCATCGTGGAACTCGCCAAGAAGCCGTGTACGCAAGTGAGGATCACTCAGTATGCAAAGAAGGTCCTTCCCCCGCGTGTGGACAAGCAAGTACCCCTCTTGGATCCGGTAGTGAGAAGGAGCCGGATTAGGAGAGGAGCAATTCGCGTACTTGTCGCGAAACTCGGGGTCGGCTTGGTAGCAGCGGATGAAGTTGTTTCGCAGGTCATCGTCAATCTCGAAAGTCGAGTAGACCGCGGTACAATGATCCGGACGCCGTGAAAGAGCATCCGCAAAACGGTTCGACTTCCCCGGAATGTGATCGGGAAAGAAGTTGAACTGGTCGATGAAAGCCATCCATCGAGTGATGGTGCTGTTGACGGTGTCTTGGGTCTTATAGAAGACCAACGGATTGTTGTCCGTTACCCATCGAAATTGGCTTCGACCAAGGAGGAAGTGCCGCCACCGCTTGAGCGCGTGGACGAAGGCGTGGAGCTCCTTCTTGTGTGCATCGTCAATGGAATGCACGACAGGCACTTTCTTGCTGAAATACTCGACCGGGTACCAGTCCACACCATCATGTTGCTCGAGGACTGCACCAATGCCATAGCCTGACGCATCCGTAGTGACGCGTCTAGGCAAAAGCGGGTCGTAAATCCGCAAGACCTCCGCAGATAATAGCGCCGCTTTGAGAGCCAAAAATGATTCTCGCGCCTCCTCTCCGAAGTCAAACGGCCGATCCTCGCATTGAAGCTTGGTCAAGTGGGCCGCGATCTTCGAGTAGCCTTTGATGAAACGCTGGTAGTATCCGGCAAGACCAAGGAACGAACGGACATCCGCGACGTTCCGAGGTTCCGGCCACTCTTGGATGGTTTGAATCTTGTCCGATAGCGGACTGATGCCCTCCGGTGTGACAAAATGCCCCAAGTATTCCAGCTCTTGCCGGAAAAATTCGCACTTGTCGTGGTTGGCCTTGTACTTGGCCCGGTGGAGTGTTTCCAACACTCATCGAAGATGTCCAAGATGATACTCCAATGTCCGGCTATAGACGAGAATATCGTCTAAGTAGACCARCACGAASCGGTCCAACATTGCACGGAACTCGTTGGTCATTGTCGCTTGAAAGGTCGCCGGGGCGTTGGTGAGGCCAAAAGGCATGACCACCCACTCAAAATGCCCGTACTGCGTCTTGAACGCGGATTTGTAGCGATCATTCGGTCGGATTGAGATTTGATGAAAAATCCAACTTAGAAAAATACCTTGAGCCGCCCAATCGCTCAAGAAGATCGTCGATGCGAGGAAGAGGCCCCGCATTCTTGACGGTTTGCGCTTTGAGCTTGCGGTAGTCGATACACAATCGTAGATCCTTGTTCTTCTTTCGGACGAAAAGAACTGGTGCTTCATATGGGGAGCTACTAAGTCGGATCCAGCCCTTGGCCAACAAATCGTCGAGTTGTGCACGAAGGACCTCAAGCTCCTCCTCGCTCATCCGATAGATGCAGCCTTTCGGCGGCACGGCACCGGCCTCAAGAATGATCTCGTGAGAGACCGGCCGATCCGGCACCACACCGGTAGGTGACTCAAAGATGTCGGCGAACTCGTCCAGCAACTGCACCACCCGGGGGTCCGAAGACAAGTCTGTGGGTGAAAAGTTGGCTACCGCGACGGTCCGTAGGAAACATAGGCGGATCTCCTCGGGCTGCTCGTAAGCGCAAGTCGCCCGGAATGATTTGGTCGTCACCACTTGGCACCGAATCGAAGGGTGTGGTAGAGGAATAGTACACGCCACTTCGGCGCCGAAGGCGTCACGAACGCTACGAGTCCGCCGGTGGAAGTTGACCGTGTGATCYGCACTTGCAAGCCAAGGCATTCCCAGAATGATGTCGAAGTCCGTGTCGAGAATATCGAACATCACCGGTTTGCATGCATGAGGTGCGAAATAAACCGGTACGGCCTCGATGTATCGGTCGAGAAGTTGCTGCCTTTTCCCATCCACCAACTTGATCGCCGTCGGGTTTGCCTTCCTCCGAACTTGTGTGCCAAGGCCAGCCCTTTGCATAAAGGATTGGCTCATGAAATTGCGAGACGAGCCGCCATCCAGCAAAGCGCTGCAGGACGCTTGCCCAACCTGGATGTGGACATACATGAGTGGTGCGTTGTTATCATCGTACCGCTGCGTGCGAAACTCGCGGGCCACCTTGGTAGTATATGCAAGGATGTCCCCCACGACGATTTCGTCATCCGTCGGCGAAGTTGGTGCTGCATAGAAGGATAAGTAAGTGTGGAGATGAGCGCATAGTGCTGCGCATTGTGGTCCCGGCAAGCGGCCCGTGGTCAGGAGAGGAAGCCATGCAAAGTCCTCTGACGTGAGCGGGTCCAATACCTCTATGTTGAACTCGCGCGTCGATTCTCGTGAAGAACCACTTGAAGACGATATGACGCCGCTGCCGGACGGAGAAGAAACCACACACACGTCTTGTCCTTGAGCTTGAGTACCCAGCGTAGGAACGAGCCGGGCAGCATAGTCAAAATAATAAGTAAGAGGAGGACTATCGACTTTCGCGTGCGCCTTGGAATGAAGGCCGGTTACTCGCGAAGAAATCGGTTCCGGAGGCGTCAAGAGTGTTGTCGAGTCACTCTCGGCGGTGCTCAATTTCCCTGTTTGCCTTTGCCTTTCAATGGGCAGGCCAGTGTCTCATGGAGATCGCTGTTGCACCAGAGGCAATAGTGGAATCTCGTGCGCGCCTTGAATGCTTGCTCGGAGATGCCATATTGGGACCATGGGGCTGGAGCTGCTGCGCCGGGCCCGGGGCTAGATGCGGTGTGTGTCTTCGTCTTGCCGCGTCCTTGGCCTCTGCTGGGGCGGCCACCTTCCCGGGTGGCTGCGAGTCTGTCCCCTTCATTGGCAGACACAACCTCGCTGGTTTGGTCAAACGGCGTTGCCGCCGCGACCACGGCCACGCTTGGCCAATGCTGGTCTCTGCTCGGGCCTGCCGCAGACAAACGCAGGTTCTTAGCCTCCTTGTTCGTAATGATGATCTGCGCGGCCTTGTCAAAGAGTTCCGCTGTTGTCGTCAAGGTGTCCTCGACATGAGTCTGGGCATTGCTTAATGTCGGACATGACCTTGAGATGAAATAGTGGCGGATGGCTTTGAAGCCCATCTGGATGTCTGGGACTGACGTCAAGCGTTGGTACTTGGCGATCAAGTCGGTACTCGGCAGCGTGCCTTGTTCGAAGACCATGAGCTTGTCCATAGCCTTGATCTCCGGCGGCTCGACTTGGAACCGCTTGTGCCATGCCGCCTTCAGATCATCCCAGCTGAACTTGGTGTGCAAGTCGGCAGCTACCACTCCGTACTTGGACAAGAGATTGTCCAACCAAGCCTGGCACGCGCCCCCTCAGCGAGAGTACAAGTATGCGTGGTGCTTGTGTTCTTTGACGTTGTGGAGCTAAAGCGTGAGCTCGAACCTGCAGGAACCATGGGATTGAATCTGTCTTCATCGAGTCACAGAAGATCTCTTGCCCGTCAAACTTTGGAGTTGTCTCGCGCGGCTCCGGACTCAAGGTGTTGGCTGCGGTACAGATCCGCTGTTCCAACTGCTGTGTTGCGGTCTGTTGTAACTGCACGCTGTCCTTGAGGGAGCCGACGTCCATCTCCAATGCTTCGAGGCGATCGGAGGTGTTGGAAGAACTTGCATCGGGGGCGGCGACAGGTTGTTGCTCCAGCTGCTGGAGGCGGCCTTGGACTTGAGCTAGCGAGTCGTCGAGGCTGTGGATATCCTCCTGCTGTGTAATGCAGGTTGCCAGCAGGTCTGTGAGATGCGAGAGGAGGAGAGCGATCTTGTTTTTGCAATCCTCCAACTTGCCATTCTCAGCCTCGGTCCGCCATTTCGCTACCATTGTAAGCAAAGTCTGCTCTCCGCTAAATATCTTCTCACGACGTTGGTTTCTTTCTTCATCGGCAGCCCTTGCTGCTGCCTCGTCATGCCGGCGCTGTTGTTCAATTGCCAGCAGTGCCTGCTCGGCGTCCTCTGCCTTCTTATTCGCTGTTGCTGCTGCGTCATCTGCACGTTTCTTTGTTTCGGTAGTCCAAGCCAGCATCTGGGCCTGATAGGCCTCGCCTGCTTCTCCGGACCTTTGGTCCATGACGGCTGTATGTGACCGGGCCGGGGGCCTGCTGACGTGCTCTGCTGGCGTAGTCTGCTAACGTGGCCTGCTGACGTGGCAACTCACGAATGTCGTCGCAGGGGGTACTCGGGGATGGATAGAGAAGGTAGGGCCAGAGGGGGCAACAACATAGGTGGGGAGGGTGGGTGGGGAGAATCGCCCAGATAAAGAGCCACTAATCAAAAAGAAAAGTTTGAACTTTGCAAAAAAAAAAATCGAAATAATAAAATCCCGAGTTTTGCAAGTTCAGTAGGTCTCCCAACCTCCCTTGAAGTTCGAAATGATCAATGAGAGAAAAAAATTTCGACTTCACATTGCAAATGATTTACAGAACTGACTGACAGAATCCTGGAACTGGGAAAAAAATTCCGAAAAGAAATGACAAGCATTCGGATTTACTCAGATGAGAGTATTCGCAGTTTGGAAAATAATACCTGCAGGAGGGATTTACCATACCGTTTTCAAAAAAATGAATTTGGAAAAAGAAGATATTCCGAATTTTTAAGTAACGGGAAATGCAACAGGAAATTGAAATTTTCGAAAAGAAAGTTATTCCGGATTTTTAACAACGAAATTTTAAAATTTCAGAAGGAAACCAAAAAAGGAAATTTCAAATGTTGCGCTACAACAGAATAGCGAGAAAACAGAATCCAAGAAAAGAAAAAAAAATTGGATTTTCGGCAGTAAGGTCAAAATTGTGATTTTGGGGGCTAACTAGTGTGCTCTAATCAATCAGAAAAGACTAATCAGCTACCTAGTCCTCGCACACCTGTCATATCATGTTGTCCTAATTCACGTGCGACGTTCCGATACCAACTGTTACATGCCCAGTTGGGCGATGTACATAGAAACCGAGGATCCGCAATGTGATAAAAAGGACTGAATGGACAATGTAGTGCAAGTAGAATCTCAACAGGCAATGTGCATTCTAATACATACAAAATGGTGCTGGATAGCGCAGGGAAGACTTGATACAAATCCTGACCTGATTGGGACTGACCTCATTCACATAATATCAGATAGCGAAGCAGAATGCTAGAATGCTAATGACTACCCCAATCAACGTTTGAACGCAGACCAAACATACATCGTATCCATCATAAAGTGTGAAGGAGCCTGGCGCTGTACACAGGAAGAAAGCGCCAGGTCCAGCCATACACACACGAAGAGGAGAGGGAGAGATGGGAATGTCGTCAACACCAAGTCTTTGTCACAAGTCCCAAATAATCCCTCGTTGCCATGTCTGAAGCCAAAAGTCGAGTCTGGATCCAATGTCACCAAGCTTTTTCTCTCTTCTCTCGTAGTTTGTTGATGCAGTGAAGTCAGATGATGAGAGGGTGAGAGGGAGATGGTGGACTGAGAAGAGGAAGAAGAAGAACTCTCTCTCTGTTATGAGACAGGTACTAACCTGTGAAGTTGGCGCTGTGCTGCAGGTACCTCGAAGACGAAGTTGGAGCAACACCTCTGCAGGTAGGTACCCAAGGCCTCGGCCCAATCTCTCTCTATCTAGTGCTATCCTAGCTATGGCGCCCAACGCTGGAGACTACAACTACCTACTGCGCCCAGCGCTGAAGACGAAGGCTAACGCTACTACTACTCCTGCAACGCTCCCTCCAGAGTGTTGTTGCCGAATCCTGAAGACTACTACTGCCTCCTGCCTACCCGTGAAGTGCATGGGAAGTCCATATGCACTACCTCAGCCTGCCTCCTGACTGCCTGAAGGGCGAGCCAGGCCGAGGAGGCTGCTCTTGCCAATGCCGAAGTGTACCACGGGCTGGCGCTGCAGCAGCTGCTGAGGCTGGCGTGGGAACAAGCTAAGAATAGCCTGTTCCCGAAGCCCTAGTTCGGTGCTTGACTTTCAGGGCTGGCTGGTCGTTCTGGTGAACGACTGAAAATAGTCCTTTGTTTCAGGCTAACAAGGCTATTGCCATATTTAGTTTGAAACGACACAGGGACTGTAGGCCCCTGTTTTCAGGCTTTCGGGTTGAACGGTCACGGGGCCTGTGGGCCCTGGTTTTCAGGATTTAAGCCTGAATTTCAGGCTTTAAGCCTAAATTCCGGGCTTTCAGCCTGAGGGACGAAGGGCTTGGAAAATGGCCCTCGTGTGCAGGCGCAACATGTAACACCCCCCCCTCCTTATGAAGTCAAGGCGGGGCGAGGGCGAAGCCGACGATCTGAAGGTGGAACGTGGACGCGGGCGCGGCGTGGAGCCGAAGAAACCGGCTTGCCTTGCATCTTGTGTTTGTAGCGTGCGAGAATGTCTGGAGCTGTTGCTTGAAGTTCCGCACGGGTCAACCAACGGTGAGCTCGGTGTGTGCAGTATGCAAAATGCACTAAATACGCGGTTGGCCTGTTGCCGTAGCGTCGCTGGGAGATGATGTCGCCGACCTCCTGAAAACCATCCATGGAGGGTGGGTCTTGCGAACGTCTTGATCTTGACAAAGTGAAGATTGAACTAGTGGAACACATTGAAATGAGTAGGAGAGCAACTAAGTGATAACCGGAACATCAACATGTGCTTGATCTTGACAAGGTGAAGATTGAACTAAGTGGAACACAATCACATGAGTAGGATAGCAACTAACTGAGAACCGGACCACCAACACATGCTTGAACTTGACAAAGTGAAGATTGAACTAGTGGAACACATTCACATGAGTAGGAGAGCAACTAAGTGAGAACCAGAACATCAACACATGCTCAAACTTGAAAAAGTGAAGATTGAACTAGTGGAACATGCACACATGAGTAGAAGAGCAACTAAGTGAGAACCGGAACATCAACACATGCGTGAACTAGACAAAGAACTAGTGGAACACATTCACATGAGTAGAAGAGCAACTAAGTGAGAACCGGAACATCAACGCATGCTTGAACTTGACAAAGTGAAGATTGAACTGGT